AGAGATGCATCTTAGCTCTGGAAATTGTTATTGAATATGTCAATGCTGTTGTAATGAAATGCTTCTTCTAATTATACGGTTATTAAATAAATAATTTAAAAAAATTTTTTATTAAACTTTACATGTAAAACAGTAAATGTTACTCACAAATATAAAAAAAATTGCCAGGCACGGTGGCGCACGCCTTTAATCCCAGCACTCAGGAAGCAGAGGTAGGTGGATCTCTGTGAGTTCAAGGCCAGCCTGGTCTACATAGTGAGTTCCAGGACAGCTGGGGCTACAGGGAGACCCTGTCTCAAAAAGACCAAAAAAAAAAAAAAAATTAAAGGACACCTAAATAAATGACAAATGCATTATATTCATGAATAGAAAAATTCAATATGGCAGACACCGGTCAACTATCCCAAGCTGATGTATAAGCATAACACATTTCCCATCAAAATTTCCAGGCTAGTTTTATATGGACATATAATTGAATAAGTTCATTATAAAACCTATACAAAAATGCAAGGGTCCTGGAACATCAATTCAAACTTGTAGAACCACACAAGAGGACAGAGCTATTGGATTTCAACCTTACAAGCTTCAGTGATGATGTGGTACTAACTGAAAGACAAGTAACAAGACAATGCAAGAGAATGCAGTTTTTCACCACTCCCTCTGTGATAAAGAGACAGTGGTGAAAAAATGACTTTTTTATTTTCTTTTGAGATAATCTCATGTATCCCAGGCTACCCTTAAATTTCTGATCCACATGCCTCCACCTCCCAAATATGTGCCACCATGTCCAGCTCTACTCTTCAATAAGTGATGCTGAGTTTATTACCTATCCATACAAAAAATTACCTTGATCATTTCTTCGTATAACATTTAAAAGCTAATATAACAATGAAGTTTATCAGAAATAATACAGTAATTTATAAGGTAAATGAAAGACTCTTAAATCAAATATAGAACATACTTAACATAAAGGAAAAATTTGACACAAAAGTATATCCTCGTCAGGAAACTCTATACAGCAAATCTTTGTATCTTAATAATTTTTTAAAATTTATTTTTATTTTATGTGTATGTGTTTTGCTTCATGTATGTAAATGTATCACATGTGTGCAATGCCTACAGAGGCCAAAAGAGGGGGTCAGGTCACCTGGAACTGTAGTTTAGGTAGTTGTTAGCCACCATAGTGGTGCTGAGTTCTAAACCTGGGTCCTCTGCAAGAACAGCCAGTGCTCTTACCCACTGAGCAATCTTTCCAGTCCCTGTTAATGTAATAACTTCTTAATGCATGAAGTCTTAATACAATCACTTAACCCTACTTACTTGACATTCCCAGAATTATTTTCACTTCTGTGAATATATATTATGATTTATAAAATCAAATCCATTAAGACTCACAATGAGAGGTTTAAATAATAGTGACCTTTAATAATTAATACTACTGGAAACTCAACAAAGGGCCTGATAAAATTTGAATTTAATACGTAAACTAGCATGTTTACCCTCATTTTAAAATATCCTACTAATAACAACTTAGTGATCACAGGTGATTAAAACAATCAGGTATGAAGAGTTCTGCTCAAAAGATGAGCAATGCCAATTTAAATTAAAGACCCAGAGTTTCTCTGCAGTTTATACAAATAAAACAATCTGCCACAGCAAAAAATAACCTGAATGCCTGTTTTTCTACAGTACAGCTAACAGTAAAAGCTCAGTTTGCTTAGAAGCCTGATCATGGCTACATCAGGATTAAGCTTTCTCCAGGTGAAGGAAAACAGCTATATTCTATCTTATTTACTCAAAAAACTTCCTTAGGTCAGAGAAACAAGGAGCAGAAAAGCAGGCAGTGCTAGTTTCCCAGAAGGCATGCAGGCGAAGAGGGGTGGGATGTGGTGTATCCATGTTTTCAATTTTCAGTTTGCATACTTCATGTCTACAACCAAAAAATTTCATATATGCAAGAAATTCTTCCTACTAAAAGATTAGACTAATAAATCCTAATTACAGCACCATAATCTTCTATATTGCCAAAGGTACAACATAGCCTCAGATATAGAAGAGTTAGGTGACTATTGTTATGTACTTATTCTTTTAAGAGCCACAACCCTCAAATTTTATAGATTAATGAATACTGTGTGGAAAGAACTATCGTTGGGTAAAGTCTGAGTGACCCCCATGGGTCCACTGCGGTTGAAGGCTTGGTCCCAGGGCGACATACAGGTAGACGTTTCAAAAGGTGGGGCCAAGAAGAAATTCTTAAGTCAGTGCAGATGTGCCCTTAAAAAGGGATTGTGCCACCCTGCCTGCCATCTCCTTTGCTCTGCTCTGGTTCTAGATGTAACCAAATGTGCCATCTTCTATCCTTACCAGAAATAAACAAATGCCCTTGAATCTTCACAACCAGAAGCTAAATAAACCTTTTCTTACTATATGTGAACCATCTCCAGTATTTTGTTGTAGTCCTATGAAGCTGATTAATACAAAGGGTTAATACAGGGCACTTCTGCCTGTATTAAAAGTTAATGCTAAAAGTTAACACAACATACATTCTGCTTCTACTGCATGAACGACACTATACTTTCAACTACTAATCATTTTACCTTTGCAGCAAGCTGTAGTCCAATTTCGTCAGCTTCAACTTCCAGTGTTCTACTATATGGTCTATCAAACATAAACTAAGAAGAAACAAGACAGAAAAACTCCATTACAGTGATTTATTTCATGACAAATTTTAAATGAATGTTGATTTTCTAAAGAATATAGAATAAAATGTCTATACTCTATGGCACTTATTTCTCCATTAGATTAATACTTCAAAAATAGGGGAACATAGGAAAAGGTATGCATACATACCTCTGAACAGACTATATTATCATTAGCTTATTTCCACTCTTTTAATTACAATCTCCAGCTCTGAACAGTGTCCTTAAGAAAGCTTATTCATGGGGCTGGAGAGATGGCTCAGCGATTAAGAACACTGGTTGTTCTTGCAGAAGACCCGGGTTTGAATCCCAGGACCCACATGGCCGCTAACAACTGTCCGTAACTCCAGTCCCAGGGGATCCGACAGTCTCTTCTGACCTCCACGGGCACTGCATGACATGGGTGCACTTTCCTACATTTAGGCAATACACGCATACACATAAAATTTTTTTTTAATTTAAAAATTAAAAGAAACTTTTTAAAGTTTTTTTTAAAAAAGAAAGTTTATTGATGAAGCCTTTTAATACAGCCAAGGAAATCTGATCTAACAGTTCTGAATGAAAATTGAAAAAAAAATATAGGTATACAAAAGCCAATGACATTAGCAGACAATTTCAAGGAAATTAACCATATAGCAGAACATTCTTTCTTTGATAAATTATCTTAATTTCCTTTTCCTTTTCTAAGTATTGATCAGTTGGAAAAATGAAATTTTCTTTTGACTTGAAATTTAAAAATATGCAAATAGATATTCTCATTTTAATTTTCCTAATTACTTGTATTTATGAGAATGCTTTCCAGCTAAATAATAATTTTCAGTAAGGACAAAAACAACTTTGTAGATGGATCAACAGGCAAGACTTTTGAGAGTAGAGCTATTCATCGGGGAAGCAATTTTTCAAAGGCAACAACATGCTTGTGACGGCTCGAGTAACAGTCATTCTGATCCAGTATGTGAGCACTGACTATGACTTCCTCCTCAAGCATGTCTGATTTAAGCTGATGAACTATAACTTACACTGCCTTCATTCTCAATGGACAGTCTGCATGTGCCCCATTGAGTGTACAAATATACAGATTGAACACTGGCTTCAAGGAGAGCCAACAGAACCAGATGTTGGTATAAAATGGAGCTAATGACAAACTCCTAGGTTTGCACGTAGGATTAAACGAACCAATTATACAATTAACTGACATACTGACTGACTTCTTACTTTGTGGCAGGTACTATGCTAAATGTCTGAAATCAGTGCTTCTCAATCTGGTATGGTTTGTTGTTGTTGTTGTTTTGATTTTTTGTTTTGTTTTGTTTGTCAGGAATGCTTATGTTTAGAATTTTGGGGTTTTAAGTTTTTTAATTTTTTTAATGTGTATGATCGTTTTGCCTGCACATATATAAGTGTACCAATGCGCATGGAGGCCAGAAACCGGTGTCAGATCCCCTGGAACTAGCATTAAGGATGATTTTTAGTGATCGTGTAGGTAGTGGGAACTGACGCTGGTCCTCTGCAAGAGCAGGCAGTACTCTTAACCACTGAGCCTTCTCTCCAGACACTTTTATTTTATTTTTTTTAGATGTGGTCACAGTGTTGCCTAAGTAGTCTTGAACTCATGGGCTCAAACAAGCCTCCTGTCATAGCCTCTGGAGTAGCTGGGACTACAGGTGTTTGCTACCACACCAGCTCTGGGAGGCATTTTTGGTTGCCAGCACTGTGGGAAGCAAGAACTACTGGCATCTAATGAGTGGCCATAGATGCTAGAAAACATCCTACACACCAACGCAAATCCTCAAACAACAGCAGTACAGGCCAAAGTATCAGTAGTTCTCAGTTAGCAGCGCCTTAGTACCCTTCATTCCCCACAATAAATAAACGTGTGGCAAACGGATGCAGGCAAGCTCACTCCACAACCACTTCACCGTCAGCACCCTGTCTGCTCTCAAATGGCTCTGCAGAGAGAAAAACATCTCTTGCCAACAAACTCACTAAGGGGTCTCAATATAGCGAAAAGGAATTCATACCAAAGGCACCCATTTTATCTTCAGTTTAATTACTAAATCAAAAATTACACTGAAGAGGCAGGATTCATTAAGTATTTCAAGAGTAAAACAGCTATAAGTTACCCTTGTTGTGATCAAATCTTTTGATTTTATAACTTAAAAACCATCTACTGATAAACAGGGGACAACTACATTAATTCCTTTGACAGTCCAACAGGTCACTGATGGAACGAAGTTCAAAATACGAGGTTCTATAACCTAAGCGCTAACTACCCTTTCTTCTTCGACATGAGGACCATCGCTTCGATCTAAATGAAGCTGTGTGACACGGCAACGCTGAATAAATAACTGCTCAAGAGCAATTTGTCTCAAGCAGGCTGCACGTTAGATTTGAACAGCACCCATATGGTACACGGATGTGTGCTCCAACAAATCATTAAATAAGCTAACATCAGGCTGTTCCTAAATAATCAAACCTCCCGGACAAGAGGAAATATTTGAAGATGTAAATTAAATAATTAATCTGGTTAACAATGCAGTTGTGAAGATTACAAGACTGATCCTCAGTAATGTAGTATTTTGAACAAACTTGAGAGACTTAATAAAAATATGAAACGGTATGATTATACATAAGCACTAAAACACCGGGCAAAACTGTCTTCTCAATGCTTCAAGGCAGTGTTGGGTTCACTGAGGGAAGCAGTAAGGGCGGTGGTAAAGCAGAGCAACCAGCCCCAGGCTCATTAAAATTTCAGGTTTCTTTAAAGGGTTCTCCATCAAAATGCAAACATCTGAAGGACTATCTACTAGGGTCCACAGTCACAGAAGGAAAGGAAGGGCCAGTGACTATGCTCTCTCTCTCTGTAAAACCAACAACTATGAAAAAAAATTACATCAACCCAAAGTCGTCATGGTAGCCCTTTTCTAAAAAAAATATTTTATTATTTTTAGTTTATGTGTATGTGTGCATTGCCTGCATGTGTGTAAGTGTACTCATGTTGTGCAATGTCCTCAGAGGTCAGAAGAGGGCTTCAGATCCCCTGGAACTGGAGTTACAGATGGTTGTTAACCACCATGTGGGTGGTGGGAATCAAACCCGGGTCCTCTGCAAGAACAACCAGTGCTCTTAACCACTGAGTCGTCTCTCCAGCCCCCGTAGTAGCCCTTTTAATCAATCCTTATATATCACCAGACCGCTGTACTATTCCTTTATTTAAAATACACATATATAAGAATATCTTCTAAAATAATTTTTTTAAAAGACACCAAAATTCAGCACCCATATTTCAGGACAAAATGTGAAAATCTTTCTGGTCTACATTGCTTTACAGTAACTTCACCACAGACCATTATAAATTTACATTATAATCTCGGACTTACCTCCTGCAACTTTGACTGTATCCACTGACCCAAAATTGCCAAACTGTCTCGTGGACAAATGGCCCAAATCATTGTGAGAAAAATCATACCAAGGAAATCCAATAGGTGAACCAAACTAGCTTTTTCTGCCTGAGAATAATCAAAACAATAAAGATCACATTTAGCAAACTGAGACAGTACACATTATACCTTCTAGTTATCATGCGAATTACACCAATTATGTGTGTTTAACTGGCTGTACCAGCTAATATCAAATTCTGCTTTTGTTTGCTTTTTTGTGTTTTGAAGACAGGGTCTCACTATGTAGCTCTGGTTGGCCTGGAACTCACTATGTAGACCAGGCTGGCCTCGAACTCAGAGAAATCTGTCTGCCTCTGCCACATAAGTGCTAAAATTAAAGGCACGCACTACCATGTCCAGTTTTTTATTATTGTTGTATTTATTTATTTATTTGTGAGGGGGGGTCCTGGGTGAGCCATGGTTGTACATGTGGAAGTCAGAGGACAACTTGCTGGGGTCAGTTCTCCCTTTCCACCATGTGGGACCTGGTGATCAAACTCAGGTTTTCAGGTTTGGCAGCCTGGGTCTTTACCCACTGAGCCATCTCACCAACCAAAAGGTCCAAATGTCTTTCATCAGTGTACTTCCCTCTCCTAGGCTGTTTTCTTTGCTTGCTTACATACTTCAAAGTCCATTTATGCCTTTAAATTAACACTTCACTTTTACTGAGCTTCTTACTAATTGTCAGAGAAAATGGTAGGTTCATTAACCTATAGTTCCTTATATTAACAAGAACGATTCTGTGCAGGTATAATCATCCCTATTTTATAAATAATGAAACTGAAATGGAGATTTTTGAAACTGCCCCAATTCACACAGATATTAGTGAAAGAACAAAAGAAAAAATTAAGCCCAGGCTGTTTTAGTTTCTGATGTAGATACTATATTCTTCTAAAGAATAAATGAACATGTTTATTACACTTCTGTTTCTAAGTGAAGACTAAGAACTATGCAACATAAGAAGTGTTTAACACTAAGAACAACTCAGAAAAAGGCAAATTTATTTTAAATAAAAGACTTTGGGGATTTATGACCTAATACTTAAAAATGTAACCCATTTATACAAGTTTTCAATTTTATACATTTGGTATTTCTCACTAGAAAATTGGATTCTGTGAGTTTTCATATTTACATATAGCAGGAACCAAAAGGTTTACAAAATATATTTGCTTTGAGGGGCTGGTGAGATGGCTCAACGGTTAAAGCGCTTGCTGCTCTCCAGAGGACCTGAGTTTGGTTCCCAGCACTCATATTGGGTGGCTCATAACCACCTCTAACTTGAACTCCAGGGAATCCAACTACCTCTTCTGGCCTCTGCAGGTACCTGCACACATTGGCATTCACAAACACATAAATAAAAGGTTTTAAATATATTTGTTTTGCATAGTAATGTCTGATGTAAGCTTAATATATCACTATGAAAGCTGACTAGTAACTAAACATTAACATGATGCTGATACTGACAATCTCAGTCACTACTTGCCTGAAAGCTAAAAAGACATTATATTTAGCAATATAATCTATCCTCACAAAACAAGCTATTTTATTGTAACAGCCATTAGTTGTAAAACACAATTATGGAATTATTTTAACATGAAAGACTGAAGTCAAAATGACAAAGATATTGCAGAATATAATGACATTGCTATTAATTATTAAAGAGTAAAATTGCTATTAGTCTTAGAAAACTAGAATTTTTAACTGTGTATTTGTAGAACAAAGGAAACAACATGAGACTATATTTAATCAAAACTAAGACTTCCAAAAGAGAAAATACTGTACTGCTAACAGAGACCTTGTCAAAGAAACATTACTATTTTCTATCAGGGCTGCATTTGGTGCCTCATCTGACTGCTCTTCTGCGCTGATGGAGGCCATGACTCTAAGGTGACTAGGAGGCATGAACCAGATGCCAAAATCAAGCAGACCTTCTAAATGGTGTAACAGCCAAAGCTCATTCATTTTTGCAGTCATGACACTATTATTTGAGAGATACTGGAATGCATATGATACTATTCCTATTGCTTAGATTTATCCTCACTCATATTTAAGAAAATATTTTTTTTAATTTTCCTGTAGCTCAGAAGAAATTACAGAAATTATTACTATTAATGCTTCAGAAAAAGCACAACTTCTGCCCAGCTCATCTTATTAGTCCCTTAAAGAATAGGTAGAATTTTAAATGACTTTGAGAAAGATTAATAAACATTATGGCTTCCATTTGAAGTTAGTATTATTTGCATTTCTGATTTAACATTTTGTAATCCTTTCAGAAATATTTACCTTTATGTTTCAATTAAAGAACAGTCTTCTCTCTAATTATATGGATAAAAGAGTCATTCATATTTTAGTGAATAGCAATTAAAAATGAGTAAAACAAATAAGTTTTATGTATTATTAAAGACCTATGTAGCCCCTTTCTCATGTCAGTGATGTCAGTCTTTTTAAACATTAGTTTCCTCATGTATAAACTAGGGAGAGTCAATACATACTTCGGGAGGTATTAAAGTTGTGAATGAGAAGGAATATATTAGATTAATCTCAGTAAACTAATACAGCAAAGTGTCATTATCACTCTGTACTAATTATGTATTACATATCACCTAGACATTTTCACAGATATTCTAAGCTATCTTTAGAGAATGAATAAGAAATAAAACTGATATACCACTTAAATAGTAATATCACTTTCCAACAATTAATTTTCTGACTAGATTACAAGTATGTTAATAATTGTGGAAAGTTTAAATTTTAATGTGAAATAATTAGAGGTTGAGAATAATTACTTTTTAGCAAAAGAGACAGGTAATAAAAACAGTGCTTAAGAGAAACACTAATTATTCAGTATCATATACTAAAGACTGCAAGGAATCTCAAAATTAGCTATCGTACTTGTTTCAGGCAAGATACAAAAATACAGCAATTACTTTCTGTCATTAAAAAAAGAAGAAGAAAAACTGAAAAGATTCAGTTCCTTAAAAGATACAACTTGCTAATTTCAAAGCAGCCCAGCAGCCACCGAATACGACCTTAGGTACTTACAGCGTGCCCAAGCACGGCATGAGCAATTTCATGGCCGAGAAGGAAGGAAAGCTGATGGACATCAGTTACGCTGTCTAAAAGCCCAGTGAAAATAAACACTTGTCCATTCTGTGCCACAAAGAAAGCAAGCAATTAGAATACCACAAAATAGAGACATTAAATTTAGCAATAAAAATGTATTTGAAAACATTTACTTACTGGCAGCACAAAGGCATTCACATCTGGGGACTCGACCACATGAATAACCCAATTGATCTCCGAGATCCCTGGGATGTCTTTATTGCATTCAGTTAGATGATAAACCACTTCCTTAACTGTCAGATATCGTGGGTCCGTCTCCATCAGCATGTCATTTTTAAATTCTTCCATCCACTAGAAGATTTTTTTACAGTATTGTTTAAGAGCTTCCTCACTACAGAATGCTTATTCTGCTTCATGGAAAGGTACTTGACTACTATTGAACATTTTAATTTTGAATTATGCAAAAATTTACATAATAAACACTCAAATTTCTGAAATTTGAATTATTCATGCAAAGGCAGGATGGTTTCTCACAAAAGAATAAATTCTAAGATTCCTTCACATAAATATGTTAAAAACAAATTTTATTCTTCTTTTCAATTAATCTATATGGAAATAAAATGCTTAAATATCTCTACTTTCCTAAACACTTCAGAAAACACAACTGCCCACACATCAAAGATTTCATATTGAAAATTTCACATAATAAAAAGAAACACGCAGGGCTGGGATGTAGCTCAGGTGACAGAGTGCTTGCCGAGCACGTAGGAAGCCTTGGATCCTCAGGACAAGATAAGTCAAGTATGGTGGCGCACATCTGTAACCCTAGGACTGGAAAGCTGGAAGCAGGAGGATTCCAAATTCAAGGTCATCCTCTGCTACACAGTAAGTTCGAGGCTATCCTGGGATACATGAGATGCTGTCTCAAAGAAGGTAAAATACAAAAGAAAATTAATTGCTTTCATAATCCACTAAGTGGAAGAACACTCTATACAAAACACAGAGGTTAAACTTTTATAAGAAAAAAGGGGGGGGGCGTAATGGCACATGCCTTAATCCTGGAGGCAGGTGGACCTCTGTGAGATTGAGGCCAGCCTGGTCTCCACAGTGAGTTCCAGGCCAGCTGAGGCTACAGAAAGATCCTGTATCAAAAATAATAAATAAATAAATAAATAAATAAATAAATAAATAATCTCATTAATTTCAAAATGTTTTATTTTATTTACACTGAAAGGAAATGACTGGAACCTCAGCATGAATATGAATGGGCATATTTTCTCTACATGACACTAAGATTGACTAGCCAGCAAGGTGTGTTAGCACATGTCTTTTGTCCCAGCACTTGGGAGGCAGAGACAGATCTGTGGTCTGTGAGTTCCAGGTCAGCCTAGTCTACATAGAAAGCACCAGACCAGCCAGGGTTACACAGTAAGACTCAAAAAAGAAAAACAAAATTGACTGCTAAGAAAGACTAGCTATCTCATATTTGAAGACATTTTTCTGAAGCTTTATTCATGGACACTGAGAAAATTTAAGGATGTTTTACACATATTAATTTCCAAAAAATATACAATTTCATTAGCATATAAATCAATAATTGATAACTTCCCTCTTTGAGATGCATAAAAATATATTTTATAGAATATGGTTTTAAAAGACTATTTCAATTAGCATTTTAAATATAATTCATCAATATACACAAATGAAAAAAAGCCCATTGTTAACTCTTCCAAAAGAATTAAGATTGTATGTAATTACAGAGCTTTATAATGTCTCTTAAGGACATGTTTGAATTCTCATATCAACATTTTTAGATTAAACAAGTGCCATGGTGTGGGGGAGGTCAGGAAAGGGGGGATGGTGGGAGGTAGGTGTTATTGGGGGATAATGGGGGAGCTGGAACTGGACAGGGAGGAGGGAGGCTGGATGGAAGAAAAGAGGGCAGAGATAAAAGCATTTGGGGGGGCTTGGAAACCCAGAGGGAAATATGATGCCCCTGAAACCCCATGAGAAGTATACATACAGTGTCTAAACATCAGTGCATGTATATACCTGGGAGCTGCTGGGCAAGGAACACAGTGCCAGACAGAAGAGACGGTAGTTGGTGAGAGTGGTCCAGGAGACCCCCAAAATAACACAGGCTATTGCCAAATCTCTAGGTTATCTCCCAGAACTAGTAGCTAAGACCCTACTGCTGAAGATAGGACATACTTTGGATACAGGACTTGAAGCAATGGAGCAGGAACTGACCTGGAAGCCTTCCACCCAAAGTTTACCTATCATAATGCTAGATGATAATATGCAAACTGTCAAGGGAGAAAAATAAGCAATGGTCCAACCTAGCCCTAAAGCCTAATAACCACAACCATAATAACCCGGCATGGCAAACTACCTCTATTGGTGCAGTGGTGGCACTGTTAGCTGGGAGGTAATCAACAGCTGTCTAATAGGACTTAAAGCCCTCTCAATGGGAGTGAACTCAGCCAAATACACATGGCAAGAGAGGACATCGATCCTAGAGAAAACCATATCTCTTTCATATCTCTAGATTTCCTACCATATGCTAAATATGGATCCTTATATTTACGGACAATAATATCATACACCACTCATCAAAGAAGCTGCTTTTTGTATCAGATGGAGGCTACTGCAGAATTCCACAACTGGTGAGACACAGGGAATATACGTCTGAGATGCCCAGTACCAGGTGACACATCTACAGTTGAACCTCTACATCTAAGGCTCATGGAACATAGTGGAACAAGGGGTAGAGAGAAAACTAATGCATCTCTCAACTCTCACCAGTAAAGGTTCTTTATACAACAGAGTGCGAGGCACACAGAAAGTCACAACTGGCCAAGTTTTAAAGAATAAGAGACTGCAGACTAGACTCCTGTGGATGAACTTGCACCGAAGGACATCTGGGTACAAACGCTTGACCAGATAGGACTTAACATACATGACAGAATGTATGAGGTCCAGTTGAGGGGTGCTATAGGGGAACATGGATGGGGGGGTCTAAATTTGATAAAGAACTATTGTATGAAACACACTCAATAAAGCAGTGCACCCACATTTCGGAGGCTCCCCTGCTTTGTGCGACCTTAGCGAGGGCGCAGCAATTCTGACTACTTACTGCTTCGTATTCCAGCTCAGACAGAAGTCGGAAATGTTCTTTCCCCAGCAACAGTAGCTTGCTCCTTCCGGTGACTGGGCTCACTTCCAGGTGAGTGAAATAAAACACCACAAACAGCAGCCCAAAACCACTCAGGCCAAGGAGCAACTTCCACTTCTTCTCCCTGAGGTTCTCTTTAAACAGCTCCTTCTTGTTAGGAGGAAGTGCTTGCCACCATTTCCTTACACCTCTAAACAGAGACAAAAACTCAAAGTTCTGATAGTATGTGGTCACGTATCACCAAAACCCAGATGTGTGTGCTAGAATTTTTACAGTTCGCTATACACACAGCCTTTTTAATTTATAAAGTTCTTACAGGATGAAAAATAATCAACTATATAAAGCTATAACCAGAGACTGGAAAGACGACTCAGCAATTAAGAGCACTGGCTGCTCTTGCAGAGGATCCCAGTTCAGTCCCCAGTACCCACATGGCAGCTAACAACCATCTATAACTTGAGTTCCAGGGGACCCAACACCCCCTTCTGGCCTCCACAGGCTTTGTACACACACAGTACACTAACATAAATGCAAGCAAAACACTCATACATGTACGATAAAAATAAAGAAGTCAAATTTTGTTTAATCCTAAGGCTCATTTGAGTTTTCCTCTTCAACTACCGCAAAGGCAACACTAAAGGGGGGTCATTTACTGCCACTACCACTGGCTCACATTTACTCTTTCCCACATCAAAATACACTTCTAATCACAGCACGCATCATCTCATTTAATCTTCCTAATAACCACGTTACAGAAAACCACCTGTCCACGGTCACAGTGGTCACAAGAGGAAAAATAAAGGGCAAGATAGTACAGTGACTGCTCAACCACTCAGTAAGGCTAAATCGAGTAAACACCTTAGGAGGCGGGCCAACAAAGCTCTCCTTCTCAACACTCTCCTCACTGCTCCTCAGACTTCCAGCACGCTCTGCCAGGGCTCCAGCGAGGAACAAGGAAAACCACCTCAGCCCTGATTGGAAATAACCAGTGCTACTCAGAAGTACAAACTCTACCATCTTCTCTAGAATATGAAGAGGGAACGGTAACAAGATCAGACCCATGAAAAATAAGGAAATGGATGATTTTAGCAAGAACACTGGGGAGGTCCTCTCAACTGCTTGTTAGGACAGAAGAAACTACTAGTATCTCAGCGTTTGTATGGAGTAAATTCCGCTCCAGAGCACCATGGTTGTTCCAGTTCCTTCCATTGCAGCAGCTTGACAAAGCATTGGGCTGTTACTAGGGTCATCCCAAGGTTCCATCTGGCATCACAGTGGCAGGTCCTAGAGAAGCAGGGGTAACAGCTTCTTCAGGAACAGTGCCTCTATTGTTTACGCCACAGCACCTGCCATAGACATTTGGTCCATCCGTATTTCCTGCTCTCTCCCTCCAGGGAGGTTCCCTTGAATACCTCCTGCTGTGGCTGCATAATCCCTTCTCAGTGCTGTGCTTCTTCATGGAGCCTGAGTGCTTCTTCCTGCCTGGGCTCCAGCTGCTTTCATTTTTGAACCTCTTTGACTGTGCAGCTCTTCTATTTTTCTAAGTTCTTCTTGGCACCTCACGAAGTCCTACCTCGTTAGCATTACCTCGTGCTCAAGGCTGCCTCCACCTCCGTCTCCATCTTCTCACAAGTCTCCTTAACATTGTGGTCCACTTGGTTCTGTCGCGGCTCCTCCATCTCACGAGTGCCTTCCAGGGCACGGCATGCACTCAAAGGAGCCAGGCTGTGCAAAGGTGGGTGCCGGCTCCTCTTCCTTATGATATGGCTGGCTTTTCATAACTAGCTTCTCAGGACGTCCCTCTTTGTCATCTGTTTGGTCCATGGAGCCCACAGTCAGAGGCTGAGGAAATGTGGTTAGCGACAAGGAACGTTTGCTGCATCTGTCCAGAGCTTTCCAAGCTACTGACTTCCTTAGGCCTCAACAATGCCTCTTCCCAGGACCGTCCTAGGTCGTCCATGGTGACTACATCTCCTGCCACCTGGCCAAATACAGAAAAGGCTTCTTCCGACAGTTCACTGGACACATACTGAGGAAGGTTGTGCATCCTAAAGGATGCGCTGTGGCAGGCAACAAGCACACACAGCCGCTCTCCACAGAGTGGCAGACTGTCCAGCTCTACTCTGGCAATTTCTACTAGAGCTTGCACTCCCAAGAGAAGAAAGCCCAAGTTTTATGAATGAAAACTACACCTGCTTTCCCATATTCCTCATAAAGTTTCCTCTTTTCCTCCCTGGTGGTATCAGGGGAAGATTTCCCCAAACAGGCTGCTATGTTGGGTGAAGGTCTCGGGCAGTTTCCTAAAATTCTTCAGGTCAATGGTCTAGCCTTCCTGTTGGCTGCCAGCTTGTTGTTCATTTGCAGGCATTGGTGGTGGCAGTGGCTGCTGGTGGTGTTGCTGCTAGTGACATTGATGACACAACCCTGGAGTATGGTTCTGTTTCTCCACATTAAAGGTTTTATTGCTCAGCATTTTCACACCCTCCCAGTCCTCTCTAATCTCAACTTCCTGTGCCAGAGTAAAGGCTATGCTACATTGCCTCTGTGGTCATCCCCACCTTCCACCTTGAATGCCTAATAAAAGTAAAGTGGGTTGCTAATACAGAGAGAGAAGGCTGGGAGGGACTTCACAGTTAACAAAGCTTTATAGACATGATTTGCTTCCTTTAATCTTCATAAAACAGGAAAAAAAAAAAAACAGGGTCAAAAAAGAATTACTGACCAGGAATGGTGGCTCACACTTTTAATCCTAGCACTTGGGAGGCAGAGGCAGGCGCAACTCACTGAGGTCCAGACCGGCCTGGTTTACATTAAAGGCATGTAATACCATGCCTGGCTGTAATACATAATTTTTTAAGGATTCCATTTCTGTATCATAAATTTACATGCAACAAATTATTTCACGATTATTACATCACAACAAAACTGGTAGAATCTACCTTTAGAAACTTAAATCTTGAGCTAAAAATGGTATGGGGAAGACTAATAGATATGGTTTCTTAAAAGTATAGTTTCATTAACACTAAAGTTTAATTATTAAGAGTTAGTTCAAGTTGACACAAAATGTGAATAAAAAAATTCACAAAAGCTCACACAAAAGATTATTTTTCCCAAAGTGTTTTACCTGCCCACAATGATTGCAAGGAGCTTCTGTACCGGTTTCAGAATGAGCAACAAGAGAGGGACAGGGGCAGCTTGGGCCCGTGGCGACAAGTGAAAGTTCCTGGCAGCTGTTAAGGGAGGGCAGTGCAGAGGACCCAAAGCTGCAAGGGCAGGAGGCACAGAGAAGTCCACCAGTCTTCGTCTTGCAAAAGAATCACTCCACATAGTACACGTATAGGCAGTCACCCCCGTTTCCCTGCTGTGGGCATCTGAGATGCATCCTGTGTTCCTGCTACTGAAAGCCCTATTGATGTGCAAGTGTCCAGGCAGAACAGTCACTGACTCACACTGACGGACTGTGTTGCATTTCTGATGCTTATTTGCTGCTTGACGACTTGGTCCACAGCCTGCAGAAGTTACCGCTAGTGAGTTCCACTTTCCAAAGCTGGTGAATGAATTGACACGAAAGAGAAAACAGTTTCTAGTGGCAGACTGCAGGCCACAGAGGAAGCTCATCCTGCTTTTGCTGGATTATCTAGAACACAAAAAATAAAAAATAGGTATGTGTGAAAACAACATGTGTATTTAACAAGCTGGGAAGGTAATGTTTATGAAATATTCGTTAACACATTTCAGACTGAATTTCTTTGGGTTCCTCATCTACAGCACTGCCTGTCATCAGGACAAATTATTTTACTAGCAATATGAATATAACAATTCTTACTTTCAAGACTTGAATTGTTCTCTTCATTGTTTTTTTTTTTAATTTTTAGTTGGAGAGAATCTATTTGATCATCAAAGTATATGGGAAATAAGCAAGAGTAGATAAAAAGAACAGCTAATTTAATCTGCTGGTAATAAGAGCCTAACGGGATAGAAAAACCTAACTTACAAAATGAATCTTTTAGAAATGTATTTCTTTGAAATAAAATCCTGGGACTTTTGATTGTAGTCAGGGTGTATGCAGTAAGAGGGACTTTACTGCCACCTAATATAACAGAATAAGCAGAAAAAGCAGGACATATAAAACAAAGTTTCAACACACTTAGCAATAGGCAATGAAAGACTGAGAGATGGGAAACAATGCCCCAGCATACTGCCTGAAGACAGTTTCCAGAGCTCATGGTCGACCAATAACTCCCCTAACCTGAAGACAGGAAGCAGGAGCTTTGGCCCACCCAGGGAGCATGAGCTTGTGGACAAAAGAGAACACAGAGCTGTGCCAAAAACTCAAGGTATGCACAGATGCCCTCTCTAAACAGCTGAGTACTAGCAGGTCATATGAATAAAAAATCCCCCTGAAGCCTAGAAAGAGTCATGAGATTGCAGTACACAGTATACAGGGCTCACACAGTATAGGGCACAGTGCCTTATCATCTATAAATCATGGTCATTAGGTAGAATACTCAGAAGAGCTTAGAGGTAAATTAGTACTACACTGAAAGTTATGACCCCTGTAACAAAGATTAAAAGCAACATCCAATGGCTTCTTCTCTGCCTTTTGATAAGAACAAGTTTAGTAAAAACATCACTCAGAAAGATCAAACTGCTTCTCATAGCCACATGCTAGAATTAAAAAACCAAAAAAAAATTAAAACCCTCAAGAACAGTTTAAGTTTTAAGAATACAGAAGTGGCCAGCACTTAGCAATATATAATTTACAACTTAAAATTACTAGGGGAGGGGGCTGGAAAGATGGCTCAGTGGTTAAGAGTTAAGAGCACTGGATGCTCTTGAGAAGACTTGGGTTCAGTTCCCAGCACCTACATGGTGGGTAACAACCATCTGAAACTCCAGTTTCAGGGGCTCTGACGTCCTCTTCTGCCCTCTGCAGACACTGCACAGCATGGGTGTATTTACATACATGCAGGCATAACACTCATACACATAAAATAAAAATAATAA